TGTTTGATATTGTGACCATCTCTGGTCTCCGCCCCACAGGTGAAGCGTTTCTTCCCACTGAAGCAGACGAAAAGGTTATTCCTTTTGAGAAGGACATTGTTGGCTACACCAAATATATGGAGAACGTAGGAATGTGAAAGTTTGAACCTCTTACATTATACACTAAGTGCTTTATTTATAATACATGAAAATAACTACTTTCCAGCGGGCTTTGCTTCTTCGTGAAACACGTGTCTCTTGTAACTTCCTTCCATGAACTCACTTTCTCCATCCCTGCTATCGAACACACGTTCTCCACTCCTGCTATCAAACCCATGTTCTCCACTCACAATGCTTTGTTTTACTAGTTATGCCATCTTTTGGGATTTTTAACATTCTTGGGCCCAATCCATTTCTCATGAGGCCTCTTTTCTGGTCCACTGCGTCCACGGGCCTAAATTGGCCTTTTATGAAAACCTCTTCCAGTTGAATGCTTCTATGATCGATTTCCTATAATTCAATGTCTTCAAAGAACGTATTATTCTTTTGGTTGGATTTTAACCCTTTGTGAAAATCCTAGACAACAAATTGTCTTCCAAAACGTCCTTTTCAACTAAAAGAATATAAATGGACATTTTAATCCTTTTCTCTTGGTGTGAAGTGACTTAATTGTAATCATGATCTTTTCCCTCAAATGTTACATTAGCGATCACAAATCCACTTCCTTATTTTCTTGTTTCAACTTCCGAGGATAATCATGGACTCCAACTTATCAACTTCTTCAACTCTGTTGCCATCTGTTTGACACATGTCGGTCGTGTAGCCACAATGTTTTTTCTTTCTCCCCAATGTTTGGTCTCCTTGATGATATAAATACCGCTTTCATCTCTCCAATTTCCTCTTTACGTTTCTTTGCATTCTCAAGCTCTTTGTCTTCGTACCCTACAGAAGATTTCATTTTCCTTCTTACCCAGAAAAACTTTACGTCGTCTCCATGGCCACTTCAAGCAAAATCTCTGAACACATTCAAACTCCCCATGAAATTGAACTGGTTTTAAACATGAGCGAGTTCTTTGTTCATGATCAAAACACTTTTGTTTTAGAAACAATACCAACACGCAAGCTTCAAACATTTCACTCTCAGGTGTTGCCTCCCTTCATCTGCAACAAAACTGCTTACGCTCTATTGGGGCCTATTCCTGATGAGGTTAGGGTACCTAAACACTTGGAAGGCTGCTTGCCTACTCAAAAAACCACCAAACCCCCTATCAACAGATATTTCCAAATAGATATTTCACACGTCTATTCAACGTCTAAGGTATTCCATTTCGCTCTGCTGTCAACCAAGATTACATTTTATGGTTGAATAAAGTAGATAAGGTAAAGGGTGACGATTGGAAGGCTTAAGGCTTTTTTGACTTGATTCAGATTTCTAGGGTTGGCCCTAGTTATTGCAATCATATGTTAATTTTCGCACTTTACTTCTAGGAAGGCTCTACAAACACCTTCCATTTTGCAGCTGGGATGCTTACTCCTAACCTATTTGATATTGCGGCCATCGCTGGTCTCCGCCCCACAGGTGAAGCGTTTCTTCCCACTGAAGTAGACGAAAATGTTATTCCTTTTTAGAAGGACATTGATGGCTTCACCAAATATATGAAGCGTGTAGGAATGTGAAAGTTTGAACCTCTTACATTATACACTAATTACTTTATTTATAATACATGAAAATAACTACTTTCCAGCGGGCTTTGCTTCTTCATGAGACACGTGTCTCTTGTAACTTCCTTCCATAAACCAACATTCTCCATCCCTGCTATCAAACCCATGTTCTCCACTGATGCTATCGAACTCACATTCTCCATTCACAATACTTTGCTTTGCTAGTTATGCCCTCTTTTGGGCTTTTTAACACTCTTGGGGCCAATCCATTTCTCATGAGGCCTCTTTTCTGGTCGACTGCGTCCACAAGCTCAAATTGGCCTTTTATGAAAACCTCTTCCAGTCGATCGCTTCTATGGTCGATTTTCTATAATCCAAAGTCTTCAAAGACCTATTTTTCTTTTGGTTGTATTTTAACCCTTTGTGAAAATCCTAGTCAAGAAATAGCCCCCCGAAATATCTTTTTCGACTGAAAGAACAGAAATGGACATTTTAATCCTTTTCTCTTAGTATGAAGTGACGTCATTTTAGTCAATGACCCTTTCCCTCAAACGTTACATCAGCGATCACACAAGCACTTCCCTATTTTCAAGTTTTAAATTCTGAGGATAATCGTGGCCTCTAGCTTACCAAATTCTTCAACTCAGTTGCCATATGTTTGACACGTGTCGGTCGTATAGCCACAATTTTTTTCTTTCTCCCCAATGTTTGGTCTCCTTGATGGTATAAATACCCCTTTCATCTCTCCAATTTCCTCTTTACGTTTCTTTGCATACTCAAGCTCTTTATCTTCGTACCCTATAGAAGATTTCATTTTCCTTCTTACCCAGAAAAACATTTTGTCATCTCCATGGCCACTTCAAGTCAAATCTCTAAACACATTCAAACTCCCCATGAAATTGAACTGTTTTCTAACATGAGCGAGTTCGTCATTCATGATCAAAATACTTTTGTTTTAGAACCAACACCAACACGCAATCTCCAAACTTTTCGCTCCTAGTTGTTGCTTCCCTTCATTTGCAACAAAACTGCTTACGCTCTATTGAGGCCTATTTCTGATGAGGTTAGGGTACCTAAACACTTGGAAGGCTGCTTCCTTACTCACAAAACCACCAAACCCCCTATCAACAGAGATTGTTCTATAGATTTTTCACACATCTATTCAACGTCTAAGGTCTTCCATTCCACCCTGCTGTCACCCAAGATTACATTGCATGGTTGAATAAAATAGATAAGGTAAAGGGTAACGTTTGGAAGGCTTAAGGTATTTTTGACTTGATTCAGCTTTCTAGGGTTGGTCCTAGTTATTGCAATCACATGTTGATTTCCACACTTTACTTCTGGGAAGGCTCAACAAATACCTTCCATTTTGCAGCTAGGATGCTTACTCCCCCCTGTTTGATATTGCGACCATCACTGGTCTCCGCCCACAGGTGAAGCGTTACTTCCCACTGAAGCAGACAAAAAGGTTATTCCTTTTGAGAAGGACATTGCTAGCTTCACCAAATATATGAAGCGTGTAGAAATGTGAAAGTTTGAACCTCTTACATTATACACTAAGTACTTTCTTTATAATACATAAAAATAACTACTTTCCAGCGGGCTTTGTTCTTCATGAGACACGTGTCTCTTGTAACTTCCTTTCATGAATCCATGTTCTTCATCCCTGCTATCGAATCCACGTTCTCCGCTCCTGCTATCGAACTCACGTTCTCCACTCACAATGCTTTGCTTTGCTAGTTATGTTCTCTTTTGGGCTTTTTAACACTCTTGGGACTAATCCATTTCTCATGAAACCTTTTTTCTTGTCGACTGCGTCCACAAGTCCAAATTGACCTTTTGTGAAAACTTCTTCCGATCGACCGCTTCTATGATCGATTTCTTATAATTCAAAGTCTTTAAAAAATCTATTTTATTTTTGGTTGAATTTTAATCCTTTACAAAAATCCTAACCAACATATATTAGTTTAAACAATGGAATATTGAGTGATCATAGGGTGGTCTTAGTCTTAGTTATTGTCGTTACTCTTATAGTAAGCTAGAACTAGAATAAATCTTGGTTAACTCGCCAGCAACACTCTTTTATGTCATTATAAACTATTTAGTTGCTGCTAACTTGTCATTATCTATGTGAAGATACTTAATTGCCATGTTTCCTTTCAACCATATAGTTATTTTGGGAAGAAAAAAATAAGAGATTTAAGTATAAATAAATGAAACAAACTTCCTGATAGAATTGACAAAGCTGAGAACTGAGCCTCTATTTATTTTCCTCCTAAAAGAGAGGAAAGGAGAAATTAATTTTGTCTGTAATGGGAATGCAAGAATATTACAATAGTATTACACTAATATTACAATAGTATTATGCCAAAAAGTTAGGGGCATTTACCTATATTAGTTGTTTTAATAATGACATAGAATTCTGATAGAGATGTGTATTTGATATATTTTGGCCGGTCAGAGTATATGAAAAGAAATAGTAATAAGTAAATTTTTCAATTGATCTATATTAGAAAAGATCAATACGAAATGTTTTAATATATTGTTGAATAGAAGAAAATATATATATGTGTAAATTTATTAAGTTTTTTCTATTGGTGGGACAGAAGACTAGAAATTTAATTGTGAGACAAACAACATGTTTTCGTATTATTTTTCTTTGAAATTGTTTTCCTAGCACAAGATATCACAATCTTTTACAAAAAATTTAAAGACCTACATAAGCATAATACCCCTCCATTCTAAATTATAAGATGTTCACAAATTAAAAAATATAATTATTATTTTATAAAAAAATGAAATAATATATAATTTTACAAAAAATATAGAATCCAAAATCTTTAGTTAAGTCGGAAGAGATTCACTTTATCTCATCCAAGTGTTCTTAGTTGAAAAACGAAATTAAAAAAATATAAAGAAAAAAAATAAATTAATAATAGAGAATATATTAATATTAAACAAAATTCATTAATGATATATTAAAATTGTAAAATGACTTATAATTTGAGATAAATATTTTTTGACAAAATGAAACGATGATGTGTCTCATAAATCAAATCTAAATTTTTAAAAGATTAATATTACCATAAAAAAAAATATGAACGCAATTTATTTGTATAAACTCTATGATGTATATTAATAATGAACATTATATATAATTATATAAAGCCAAAGAAGACCAGCTTCCAATATTGTTTTCATGGCAGCAATATCTTTCTAATTCCTCTATAGAGAGAAAGTTGATTCTTGTTTAGACTACACACAAAAAAACCAAACATCATTCATAGCTTTTAGTGTGGTCCACCATCAATAACAAGAAAAGAAGCTTCTATATTTGTTTCAATTTATTTATATTGAAAATGTCAAATATTTCAGGTGATGAAGGAAGCTTCTCCTCAGGAAACAATGGTGAAGAACAGGTTCAAAATAATCTCAATGATTCAAGTTCAGGACCATCTGGTGCCTCAAATAGCAATGGTTCCAGCAATCAACAACAAACCAAGAAGAAAAGAAATCTTCCAGGAACACCAGGCAAAAACTCAAAACTATAATTGATGAATTTTGCATTCAAATGATGATTTTGTATAGTTATATTATATGTAGTTGCTCTATTTGCAAACTTAAACATTAAATCATGATTGAATAAACAACTTATACTATAAGTGCTTATGTATTAGCTATTTTGTATGACAAAAGAGAAATTTAAGTCAAACTGTTTTGATATTGGCTATAATAACTTGTTTTCATAAGCTATAAATTTTTTTTTTAATAAACTATCTTGAAGAGCTTATGGAAATAAGCTGAAAACTATAGATGGACATGTCATGAGCTATTTGTATAAACTCTTTCAAACAATCTCGCAATTGATTGTATCAGTGTATAAGCTCGAATAAGTCAATTCAAACAGGTGTCTATAAATTTCTACCATATTCTTGTTATATACTACTATATGCCAAAGTACTCTATTAATGGATATATTTTGATGAAATAGATCCTAGTGCTGAAGTTGTAGCTTTATCACCAACAACGTTAATGGCAACAAACAGATTTGTGTGTGAGATATGCAACAAAGGCTTTCAAAGAGACCAAAATCTTCAGTTACACCGTAGAGGTCACAATCTTCCATGGAAACTTAGACAAAGAACAAGCACAGAAGTGAAGAAAAAGGTGTACGTGTGTCCTGAATCATCGTGTGTCCACCATAACCCAGCTCGCGCGTTAGGCGACCTTACTGGTATCAAAAAGCATTATAGCCGCAAACACGGCGAGAAGAAATGGAAATGTGATAAGTGCTCTAAAAGATACGCTGTTCAATCTGATTGGAAAGCTCACCAGAAAACTTGTGGCACAAGGGAATACAAATGTGATTGTGGAACCATATTTTCTAGGTAACACTACTCTAAATTCGTATTTATCCCTTATTTTTGCGTCTGTTTCTTTATACAAAAATCACGTGAATTCTCTGAGATTGGCCTGTTGGTGAAGACTTGTGTCCTGAGAGTGTGTTTCTTTTAAGGTCTTAGGTTTAAATTCTGTTAGATGCTAACAATTTTTGTGTTGACTCATTCCATACAAAGTTTTGCCATGACTTTAAATGGCCCTCCGCTTGTAAACGATAGAATTGGTCCCTTGGATTAGTCGGTTGCTAATGAAACTTTTTTCTGCATAATGCAGGAGAGACAGTTTTATAACTCATAGAGCTTTCTGTGATGCATTAACTGAAGAAAACCACAGAGTGAACCAAGGATTAACCAGTGGCATGCCACCAAACTTACAAAATCAAATGCATAATGATATCTCTACTATGCCTCTAACAACTATTTCCAACATTTCGTCGGAATTAATCAGCGACTCGCTAAAATCGCCGACTCAAGAACATGTTCCAATACAATTCAGATCAACCAATGCATGTGGTGGCATGTTTTCAACAAGTGCAGGTGCACTTTTCGGTGGCCCGAAAACCTTACCTCCCTCTTCTTCATCTCTTCAACTCAGTTCGAATTCCAATAGCTTCAATTACTTCAATGATAACAAACTCGGAGGACTAATTTCTGGCTCGGTTCAAATGTCGGCTACGGCTTTATTACAAAAAGCAGCACAGATGGGTGCTACTGCAAGCAATAGTGTTAACTCTTCCATGATGCAGAAAAGCTTTGTTAGTAGTATGATTAGTCCTAATCATGATCATCTTTCTGGTTCCATCATGATGCAGCATAACCATAACCATAACCAAAACCAAAATCAACCCTCTTATGAACAATTTAATCCACTGCTACACCACAGTGATTTATCTAACATGGCTGGTGTTAGTGGTGGTGGAGCATTTACCAACCAATTGTATCAAAAACAACATCAAGAGATTTCATTACTATTTGATAATAATGCTAATGACATGGGAATGTTTGGCCAAGGATTGATGAAAAATGTGGCACAAGAGGTTACTGATTGTTCAAATTTGATCCATGGAAGTGATGTGGCAAGAGTGCATGATTTCTTGGGAATTGGAGGTTCAAATTCAAGTCTGCATGAACCACAACAACATAGATTGGAAATTATGAATGATTTTCATCATCATCATCTTCCACATGAGGATTCACCTATGGAGAAATCAATTTGGGATGATTGAGTTGTGACAAAAAAATATTCAGGTGTTGTAATAACAATGTTCTTTAGATAATTGCGTACTAATTCCATATACTACTATCAATTATTTATCATCTGTTTTGAATAAGTGACTTCAAACATAAACAAAATAGTGAAGTTGAATTGTGTCTTCAAACATAAATAAAATAGACGCTTAAATACATTATAGAAAGATTTGTTAATAAAAAGGTTTTGATAAATATAATCAAAAATAAAATATATTAGAGATAAGAAAAAAAAAAAAAAACCCTCCTTCTATATGCTAATAATTAAATCATTTGATACTTTGATGTCTAAGTTGGAATGCACTAGCAAGTACTAGATAAGCATGTGTATTAGTGTATTGGCCATGATGGGCACATCATACAATTGATAAGGGACTCGCTCTTGGGCGTGTTATGTACTCCACAATACAAACTTTCTTAGTGTATGATCCATGATGTACTTTAGGTTCCATTGTTTAGGATCTTACCATTACACAAACCCTTTTAGATACTTAGTTATTTTAATGGGCGACGAACATTCGCTTCAACCATGTCCATTCTTTAGAATAAGTATAAGTTTCATGATTTAATTGTTCCCCTAGAAAGGACATTATGTGTCTATTTAAAAATGATAAGGATACATTTCTTTTATGTTCTTAACATTTTGTTTACAAAAATTGATGTTTATCTTTCGTCGAATGTTTTTGGACGTCATGCGTATGTTAGTCATAGTTCAATTTTGATCAAAAAAATTTTGAGATTCCATTTAGTCATGATTTAGCCATGACAAATCTATTACAATTTATTTATATTTTAACTGTAATAAATTTGAGATTATATATTATAGCTCATCTTACGCGCTCTTAAAGAACGGTTTATTAATAAATATTTAATATATAATAAAATATATAAATAAAAAAACACATGTCCTCTCAAACAAATTTCAATATTGGAGAATTTCACAAGAAATACATGAGAATATGAAAGTATCATTTTAAAGTGTCACCTTAGGATACTTATAATGTGATGATAATTATATGAAGTCATTGAAGTGTTTGTGACCATGTTTTAATAAATTATAGTAGATATCAACCCAACTTCATCAAATAACTCATGTTAACATTAGTAGACTATTGAATTCGAGACCACACTCCTTTTTTGGAGAACAAGTTAATTTTCAAGAGATTAAATGTTATTTTTTAGCATTAAAAATAAGCATTCAAATAAAAATTATACTGAGTGGTTTCACTTTATCACAAAATAGATTGAGATATGAGAGTAAATTTTATGACATAATTTTTTTTTTTGCTTTAAAAAAATAGAGGTGAGTTGAACTCTAAAAGCTCACCAAAATCACTACGAAAACTCACTAAAATCAGGATAAACCTCAAGATTTAAAGATCAAATTTAAAAGATTCGTAAATACAACTATCAGGGTCGTCTTTGAGAGCATACAAGGCGAGCTACCGTTTAGGACCTCAAATTTATCAGAGTTAAACTATGGTTAAATAAGTTCTCATAAAATATTTGCTAGGTTAAATCATGGTTTAATAGAATCTCTATTTTTTTGTCATGGTTAAACTATAACTATCCAAGAGAAGTCATGAATCCTCTGTTAGGGTTTGCCTCTGCAAACCAATAAGGCTTTCTGGAAAAAGACGATCAATTGGAACGTATCACAGGGAAAGTTAAAGGAAAACAAATAGTAAGTTCAGACAACACTTAGGAATCTAGGCCAAGTTTTACGCAATGCTTGCTCAGAGTTCCTTATTTCAAATAAATGGTAATGGGAGAAACATCAAGAATAAAAAATGTAGAAGGGTGAATCAAGACGGGATAGAGGAATGTCCAGAGGATGGAGGGACTATTCAGACTATTGAGAAGAAAGAATATAGAAGCTATGGAAGCAAGGGGTTATAGTGAAGATTTTGGGGCGCAAGATTGGTTACAAGGCTCTAGAATCTCTACTCAATAGTTTGTGGGTTCAACATGGAATTCTTAACATAGTGTTTACCGTGGTTATTGGTAAACAACCGCTGATCTTCCAAATGGTTACTTATTTGGTTACTCGCAGGATCGATCAGATTGATCCTAAGACATGGTTGATTTTGGGGTTTTGATTAAGTTGGATAATGGTTAAATGACAAGAAAATAAAGAGGCTTTAAGTAAATTGCATGAAGAAGTGGGCTTGACAAAATAAAGGAAGGCTTGAAATAAAAGGCTTCGACGGGAAAAGTAAAGAAGAAAGCAAGTAAAGTTTCTGGAAAGTAAATGACTTTGATTAATAAAAGTGGTGTTTCACACATACATTCTCAACAATTCTTTCTCACACACTGGGTACTCGAATCTATATGAGTGACTTTGTATATAATTGTGAACACACGCGAAAAACTGCGTGAACTACTACTATTTATACTAAAACATCCCAAGTAACCGTCGGGCAGTTACACTGCTTCGAGATGACTCCACTTGGCACGTTCTCAGCGTTCGACGCTCCAGATCCTTGCACGTTGCACTTGGTAACCGCTGGGAACCGTTTTCCCTCCAAACGCTTGAATTTCAAACCGTTCCACTCTGAACAATCGAACGCCTTCGTCGAGAATCATCTTCGACGAGAAACACCTTCGACGTTGAAGGCAACCAAATTCTACCTTGGAAGAAATCCTCTAAGTACATTGCCATCTTCCGATGGGCATTTCGACAGACCCAGCTGGTCGAAAACATCCTTCAGCTTTAATGGCTGATATTAATAAAAACAAGGGTGTCGAATTTAGGAGCCAACAAATTGCCCCCCAAGAATGCCTTATTTCGACTCTGAAAGAAAAAGGCATTCTTTGAAATGCCATTCGACACCTGTCTTTTCACTCTTAGTCACAAATTAAATTGTGCACTTTTTTGTCTTCTACCAACCACTGACAATCCCAAGGAAAAGCCATCATTTCATCCGTACCTAAGACGTCACTTCAGTATGGCGTGCAGCGTGCCAAACGTCTTTTCACAAATTGTCATCATGACAATTCCCAAAAACGAGGGCGCACGCTGCACCCTTTCATTTCTGCAGAACGGCTACATCAATAGGGAGACGCCACGTGTCCCACTACCTTCTACAACATTAAATGGCATTAAATGTCCTCGAATTTGGGGATTTCCCCAACTACTATAAATAGCGCCAAGTACCCATTGTGGGACTTTTTCATGCTACCTTGCCTTCAGATATTCCTTATTGCATACAAACTCTTGCAACCTTTGCAAACCACCTGTTCTTCACTTCATCTTCAACCTTAGTATCAACAATGGCGTCCGGTTCTTCCACCGCTCCTAGCGCTAACATCCCCCCTGGAAATGTTAAACCCAGGATTTTCTCCACTGCTCCCGTAGTTACTCCCACGGGCCAACGAAGGGTCCCTGAGCCCTTGGACATTGCTGTACGTGATGCTTATTCACGCCAACTCATGATTCCGGTTGGATACTCCAACCAAATCTTTGCCATGTCTGGCCCACTATACCCAAGCATTGCTGAAGCCATGAAGATCAAAAGCTACTTTCCGGTACTTGAAAAACTCAAACCGGTTGGATGCTCTAAGAAAGATGCAGAGGATAATGAAGATCCTGCTAAGGAGAAAATCGACCTTCGTTTCTTCAACAGAGGTGTTAGGGCTTTCAGGTCTAGCCCTAGCCTCACTCCTGACTATAGTGCTTGGCTGGAAAAAATGGAGAAACGCCAGGCTTCGATCTGGAAAGACATGGGGATATTCGACCTGGTTATGTTGTCGAAGACGGGTCTTAACTATTCCCCAGAAATGTTGATAGCTTCCTTACTCTTCTGGGATTACACCCATTTCACCTTCCATCTTCCCTGTGGAATGCTGACTCCCACGCTCTTCGACGTGGCCACCATCACTGGCCTTCGACCCACTAGGGACTATTTCGACCCAAAGGAAATGTCGGAGGATCAGATTGGATTCTCTGCCACAAAACCAACCTACACCACGTACATCAATCATTACCACGATAAGTCGACGGACGCTGTGTCGGATGTAGAGCATATCGCGTTTCTAGCCTTATGGCTGTCACGCTTTGTGTTTTGCACCAAGTCTTTACAGGTGACCAAGAAGATGGTCACTCTCGCCACCCAACTCCACCATGGCCAAAATATCTGTTTGGCAGAATTGATTTTGGCGAATCTATACGAGTCGATTAGCAACGGAGCGACTCTTTTGAAGATCATCGAGAACAGAGCCAGTCTGCTGCTTGCTGGACCTTTTTGGCTGCTTCAGCTGTGGCTCAATGCCACCTTCGAGTCTTTCTTACCTCAGAAGACTCAAATAAATGAGCAGGCTTCGGAAATAGCAAATAGGTGCATCGAAGGCACCAGATTGGCTCTGCTGACCCCAACGGAAGATGGGCTGGAGCTTCAACAAACTTTTACAAACTTCGTCTTGATGTTTGCAAAAAGGAAAGAGTTTGCTTCGACCATGGCTCCCTTTGCTCGACGAAAGGTTGGTCCAGAGTGGTTCACGAGGCCACATCCTAAGTCGTCAAGTGGTCCTCAGGTCGAAGAACATACAACAGTGTGGGAAGCATTTCTCACACCAAGAATAATGCCCCTGCGATTCAAGAGCTCCAAGACTCACTTGAGTCTAATCGCGTATCAACCAAACTTGGTGTCTCGCCAGTTTGGTATTATTCAAACACTTCCTTCTCCAATTTTTCCCAGGGAGAAGTCTATGTTATACTTTTGCAACGACTACACTGAAGACGCTGCCACTAAGCATATCGGCAGGTATGCTGGTCGAACAGTTCTTTCGTTGTTTGACTATCAGCTTAACTTTCTCCGCTCACCATCCTTCGAGGAGTGGTGGAAAAGTTACTACACTGAGGAGTTTTTCGACGAGAAGGACTTCGTGGACGAACTTCAGAAGTCTTTTGTTCTTGTCTTGGACAAAATAAAGAAATGTAAGTTCATCCTTCCAAATTACTTTGTCTTTCCCTTTCGAC